CTCGCTCATCCAGGCGGTACAGGCCCAACACCTGCAACAGCTGCCGACAAAGCATTTGAGTATCTTCCATTTGCTTTAGACTCCTGGAAAATGATCGATTCCTTTTAAAACCAAGAGGGGGAAATAAAACATATTCGACATATTCTCAAACAATTGGAAGGTATGTTCACAAACAGGGGGACCCACAATGGTGGGGGAGGCGGTTCCTCTTGGTTTCCCATTAGAACTACCCTCAATTTAAAGGTACACTAAAAAAAACAGCATTGTGCAATCCCGAGTTCCAATTAAGCCGAATTGAACGGCACCCAAAGAGCAAATGGTTTTTAGGAAGATGGTCGCGGTTTGCACACGCCTCGCTATCGGCCCCCTACGAAAACACAGAATAGGCCCATAGGCCCTTTACCCAATGTGGGCGCTGGGGGTGGGAGCCGCCTAATTAGCAACCAGCAGGCAATGTTGACACTCCCCTGTTTCTGCGTGGTGCTGCTTGATTAGACCGATGCTCTCCCAAACTAGGGGTATGCTGGCGATGATTTCAGGCTTCCGTCTGCTTCCGGTAAGCTTTGTGGCACCTCAGACACACATCGAGCATCAGAATGCTAAAAAAAATGGCCAATCGAAGGTTGGGCTCTTTTGGGGCTGCGATGGCTGCACAAGCTGGCCCTCACCTACTCTACTCCGGCAAGCATCCTCAGCAAAGGATAGAAAGGCACATTTTTGGTGAGTCCACCATCCTTCCGTACGTCTGCCACAGAGGCTAAACATACGAACACATCGTACACAGAAACGATTCTGACTCTCTTTCATACTGTGGATGGACGAAATCCTGCACCACCTAAGAAACCCTGGCATGATGATTCCCTATAAATACCAACGCACGGTATGGTTTCCCATGCCTCCATGGTGCGAAATGGATTTCGTCCAACCACTGTAAGTTGTTCATGTTTAAATAGAAAGTCGTTTTGGAAGAGACACCAAGGAGAAGGCTGAAACGGACGTCTTATGAATCCGAGACTAAGGTAAAGCTTCATGGCTCTGGAGAAGCTTCTACTCAACGGCTTCAAACCTCATTGTGGGATTTCTTTGCAAAAACATGGCTCTAACAAACATATGTATACAATGTACATGCGCCCCCTTTCCCCCCCCCCCCTTGGGCCTTAGTCCGTTTGGGGATGATAAATCTGGAATCTAGAAGCTAGGTCCATGGGGGGTACCATATAATATGTATATATATATATATATTATGAGTCGTCCAAAATGGGTACACATCATGGCACATGGTCAGGACCAAACCTTCTGTCTGGTGGCTCAACTTGGACCCGTACCCACATGTCTTGACCACACCGGATGAACAGGCCGTTCCAGCCGAAGAGAAACCGCCGTCTTTTTTCTCAAGGCACCACTCCTCCTGTGGTTTCCAAGGACTCGTTTGAGGCACCAACCCGCCCCAATCTAGGCGTGTCTTTGCTTGAGAGTGCCCTTTTGGGGCTGGTTTGAGTGCCTTTTGGGGCGGGTTTTAAAGGAACACCACGAGGAAAACCAACAGTTTGACTGGTCCGACCTTTCATCTCCGAGTTGTCTGGGTCTCGAACCGTCAGATCCCCACCCTCGGGATCCGTACGGATGGTTGCGAAATCCAGGTCGCACCATGGAGCCATGGGAAACCATACCGTTCGTTGGTATTTATAGGGAGTCATGATTAGAGTTAGGCCCAGTTGTAGAATGTATATTTTATTGTTTGCTTCACTTTGAGTCACCTGTGAAATGTAAAATGTATCCTAGGTCTACCCCAGTTTATAGGGAGTCATCATGCCAGGGTGTTTTAGGTGGGGCAGGAGTTCGTCCATCCCCAGTGTTTCTCCCCAGGGGCCAGTCTTCTTGCCGCGGAACAAGACCGGACGAAAATGATTCGAGACCTTCCCCGTTTTCAGATCCCCTGCCAAAAGTTTAACTTTTGGTGGGTTAAATGGAAACCCAACCACTGAGCCCTAAAAACCTAAGGGGGTGGCTGGGAACCGCAAAGACTACCGGGTCGTTGCGCATATCTGTTCAACAAGGTCCTGAAACATCCCTCCCGATGGAGATGGAGACCTGCAAACAAAAACACTCCCAACCCCGCACCGACGGCGTGTTCAGCAGGTTGCACAGACCCACCTGAGAGCACCGAGTGGTGCGCGTCAATGTCGGCAGCAAAGCTCATCAGGGCGCATGTGTCTTTGTGTTTTTGTTGAGTTTGCTGCCCTCGCCATATTCCTGTCGTGGTTACGTTTTGTTGAGTCGTACGGATCACTAGTTGGAGGAGATTTCTCCTTCCCCTTCTGACCCTTCTCACATGGCTGTGGCTCAAATCAATGGAACCCAAAATGACACCTTGGCAAATGGAGCCAAAGACCAGAAGCTGCGTAACCCTGGCTCTTTCAGTTTGAGCCACACCCACATTGGTTTCAACGAGAACACCCCAAAGCCACGTCTCAACTTGTTCTCGGCCGAGTGGATCTTAAGCCCTGGGAGTGAGACGAAACGCGATCAGTGGGGAGCTAAAAATTGCCCAGATCCAGTTACCCGGGAACCAAAGGAACCGCCCTGTATAAAAAAACAAAAAACAAACCAAAAAAAACCAGCAGACACCGAGTTGGGTTCCTACCAGAGTAGCTGGAGTCATAAATTCTGCCCCCCATACCCCTAGTTAGAGCGGGGGAGTGACTGTCTGAAGCCATGAGGCCCCAACGGCAGACAGTTCGGAATGCACCAACCACAAAGGTTCCCAGTAGAGTGATATGAAGCAAGCCGGCGCCCATCTTGCAAATGGCGCCGTGTGCGCCAACACTTGTAAGCGATTGGATCACCACACCAACACAGCATGTTTCTGGCGATTGAATGCTTGACAGCAACTTCCTTTTGCTTAAGCCTCCTTGGAACAAAAAATAAGTTCAGTAGTGATAGATTCCCTTTCAAACCCACAAGGGAAACTAAACAACTTACTCATTTCAGCAAATGGAAGGCACCACTGAGGACACGTGCTTCACGTCCACTGAGTTCGAGTAAAACCTGCGACTCCAATGACCTCTCTAAGCCGAAGTGCAAAGGCTTGGTAGGGCGGGAGGTACAACAAGAGCATGGCTGCCAAGTAGCTCCTCGGTGAAAGAGTCAAGTCAGACTACAGCTGGGAGGAGTTTCACAGCAGCGTATCACTGGCAAACTCGCATGCCAAAAAGGCCCAAATCAGAATGTCAGGTATTTGTGTCAATCCAGGAAAAAAAGGAAAAATACTAAAAAGCATCCTGTTTGCATTTGCGGTCCGTTCTTTAGCCTTTGGCGCATTCTTCAACGCTTCAACTGGCGGCTTGTGGGCGACACTTCCCTTTTAGGAGACCTGCGTCCATTCCAGCGACTGAGAGTGCTACTCTCCCTGAGCCTCGCTCCAATTCCGGCTGAAATTTCAAGGTGCCCCTGGTTTTAGTGGGGGGGTCGTCACGTTTGGAGGGGAACATCTCATATTCATAAGCAGGGGTTTATTCTTCCGTGGTGAATTCTCTTCGGGACGGCAAGCACGGCTGAAGATCAGGTGTCGGAATAGGCCGTCGGTATGGACCACATCCGTTGCCGAGCCCGCTAAAGGGCATCGTCGCCCGAATCAACGAGGGTCTCGTTACTGGTAAAGGCGAGTCCGGGTTGCAAGATGCCAAACAGTTGCCTGTGACTTCCTCTAGGAAGCAAAGACCCTTTGGTGTAGAAATCACTCGACACCAATCCGTTCGTAATTGAGCGCAAGAACGCCTCCGGGTTGAGCGATCCCTGACCAATGGCTATGCCACTGGTGTAGTTACCCAAGGAAGCCCCCTTGGTCAGCGTGTTCTCGAGCCAAGTGTCGTCAAAGTTTAGGTACAAGCTGTGGGTCTTTCGCGTAGGCTTCTCAGAATGTGCATAGCCAGCAGCAACTTGCCGTCTGGGCTTACTGTATGGGTGTCCTTTAGCGGTCCCAACAACACAACTTTATGGCTGTGGGTCAAAAATAGGTACCCCAAATGGAACCTTAGTAAGTGGAAACCTGCGGTCCCCTAGGTGGTTTAATTTTGACCCATACCCATATGCACTTGCCCATCCACCGAGGTGAATGCATGCCGAAATGGTCTGTTCTGATGATTCTTCCTGTGACTGAATTGACCCTCGAACTTGGAAGAAGGGCCACTGGCAAAACTCTTCACACCTCCACACACTGAACAACTCCGAGCAGATACCTTGAGTAAACCCCCAGGTTGATTGATCAAGGGTGTTCCGAGAGTTGGAGGAAGCCCTGACAGGGAGTTTCTCCGAAATGAATTTCAATAGTGAGACTTGTTTGGTTGATGAACATGAATCCCCACTTCAAAGGATGTGCACCAATCCCCACTTCAAAGGATGTGCACTAGGGTCCCCTTATTGAATTTCACATCCGGCTTGGGTAAAGCGGGGAACAGTGAAAAGGTCAGCCAGGGCCTGGGTGAACCCCTCGTTTACAAGCGTTTCAAGTGCTGTTCTGAGACAACTTCCATTTGGCTTCCATCAGGCGATCAGTGTCTGTGCTTGGTGACCCTGGTTGGCCTACACTTGTGTTTGTTTGTTCATCAACTTATCATGCCACCAAGACGAGACCTGCATGGGCAAGGAATCTGTCAAAGTACGAGACAAGAGGGGAACTGATCTTCTGGGTCTCTCCCCATCAGTTAACCCTAAACCCTAAACCCTAAAATCAATATCTTTTCTTTTGAGGGGGGAGGACCGCCGGGTCCGGCGCTACCATTTTCTCCCGCCCAGGATCGATCCCACCCGGTCACCCGACCGGCCAACTGTTTCGTGGGCCCGGGCATGCCCTGCACGTAGCCAATGTCCGGCCGGAAGAAGGTGTAGGCCTATCGCCATTCGGATCTGAACCTCGGATCTCGTCTTTTTCCTTTTTGAGATTCGGGCCCCCCCAAAACCAAGCTGGCGCAGCGGAGATTTTCCTAGTTGTCCTTAAAGCCAACTAAAAGTTGGGCACGGGGCAGATTCTTTACAACCCTTGGTAGCAAACTTTGTTTCTTTGCCGGCTACTAAACATGAACAGAACCAACAACGAGAAACAAACTTACCAACAGTGAAGACTTCATGGTCGTGGGCAATTGAACTGGTGCCAAACTTTGGGTGGGAGAGGTATCGCTGTTTGGACTCGCATGTTAAACGTGACATCAATTTGGCCGCAACTGCGGCCAAGAGCGCGCACCCGCTTTGACATAGCGACTAGGTTTTGGGTGCGTCACCCTCCCATTTCGTCATGCCGATTCAATCTTGTTTGCGGATTGCTTTCACCCCAGCTCAGCGCGTTGCCGTAGACGGTGGATACTTACTGCGCACATCCCAACCGCCTCACGTGCTGGATACATTTGAAGGGTGATGCAAGTTGAGGCGAAGATTTCTTTGCCGCCGGATGCCGTCATGTTGCGAATATAGCTTGGACGCTCTTGCTTGATGTTCAACATTGCATGGTTTGTGCAAGGTGCAAAACGCTGCCAAAACGACACAGGTCCCTGAAACATAAGTCGCTTTCCCTCCACGGAAACGGCAGTCCCTTCATTTCCAAAAAGGACCCGGAGACATGTCGGTGAGTTGAGCATTGGCAAGGACCACGAACGCGTGTACCACTTTTTTGGGGTCCTTTTTTGATGGTTTAAAGGGAGGCCGAAAGGAAAACCCCCCCATTTTTGTGGGTCCCACAACAAAGAGACACGCCTAAGGGGTACCATTTTTTGGATGGTTTCAAAAGGAAACCAACAGGAAACCAACCATTTTGGGGGCCCCCTCATTGTCAGACAAACCCAAATGAGCCGTGCCTCTACTCTTGTTTTAAAAGCGGTCCTATGAACTTGCTTTCGCGGACCCTTTCGCGATGCTTTCGCGACCCCATGTTTTGCTTTCGCGGGCTTTGTGTTCTCTAGAATTGCTTTCGCGACGCTTTAGCGGCGGACTGTCACACAGCAGGCAGGCTTTCGCGGGTCTTTCGCGGCGGGACCTTCTTTGGGTACTTTCGCGATGCTTTCGCGGGGATTCTATAGGACAACCCCCTTTACTACTTTGTATTGTCAGGGTTTATGGCGCTGCTTATATGGCCATGGGTCAAAACCCCGGTTACCCCCAGCAAACATCCCAACCCCCACCAAAATAGGTTCTAAAATGGGTGGTGCACCTACCCCAAAATGGGATCCCATTGGTTTTGACAACCACAGCCATACTTCAAAATAGCTCGCCCAATTGGATGGTTCGGGGGTACGGTTCGGGGTATGGTTCGGGCCACTCGAACATCCCACCTTTACATAGTGACAGGCACCTCAAAAAGCACAGACCCAATTCAACACAAGCCCTCAGTCACATATTCAGCCCATGCCCGCTTTCGCCCGGCCTCCAGGATCCGCGCGCAGTCTTCGTGGAGAGGCCCGCCCTCGTGAGAAGGCAGTGGCAAATGGAGGATTTTTTGAATCCCCTCTAGAGGTATGGGGTTGTCCCCCGTTCAGAGAGGATCCCTCACCTTCACTTTTTGGGAAACACAACCCTAGCAATCCGAGAATCACGAGAGCAACATTTTTCACTGAGCCTGAGGGAAGCAAACTGGCGGGCGCCTGCTGGGAGGCTAGGCCCTTTTTCCGGGGCAGGGGTGGATTTTTTGCTTCATGAAGAAGCCAGCACTTCGGCAACCCATGGGTGGTTATTGTTTAGTTTTTTCTTTCTCCTGTGTTGTTTGCAAACGTATTGGACACTCCCCCGCAAACGTACACTTCTCGAAGAATCAGCGTGTAGAAGAAATGAAGGTGATTAAACACACTTGGAGGATTCATATTTGGGTGTACTACAACTTTCAACTTGAGTCAAAATCAAACCTGGCATTGCTGCACGCAACGGTTGGGAGCATCTGAAAGCGGCCATGCAAATCTCACATTTCAGCATTCTTGGTTGCTGCTAACCCTCTGCAAGCAGCTGTAAACACTTTTTGTGGGTCCAATTCGGACAATCCGGCCTGTTTCCGAAAAAGTTAAAGTCCAAAGGTCCAACAATTTTGGAAGCGGACAGAGGGCTTCCCCGAGAAAGTAAAGTAGCTCTCCAATATCCTTTCAGCTTCCATGATTGTTAGGAGAGGGTGACCCACATTCCCCACACAACGGGACAAAATCCTCATGGTCATTTGGGGCCCAGGAATATTGTTCAACCCCAACATACCTTTGCATCTATGCCTGCAGATTTGGATATGCGCCAAAGCTCTCATGTTGGCCCCCTTCGGCTGTCACCCCCTTTCCAAGCGTCTCGAAAGGGCTTGTTGGACTAAGAGTTCTCCACGCGCCTTTTAATCTCCTTGGGCAAAACAAACATGTACCTCCTTCTCTTGAGGTTCCACCTTTGGTGTGATTTGCTACCATGTTCTCACACACCTAGCTCCAAAAGGCCGCCTCTCAGGAAATTTTTGTCCGACCTTCGCTCCGAGGAACGTCTTCATCGCTTTCGGGGGCCCCAGGCCTCGCAGAAGAAGGCCAGCGTGGGGAAGGTCCTCGGCAGGTCCTGGCGATTGCCCAAAGCAGTATGGGTGTGGGTCAAAAATAGGGTACCCCCAAAATGGCTTGCCCCTGTAAATGGAAACATGGACTAAAACCGGCGGTCCCCTAGTGGTGCAATTTTGATCCACGCCCATATTTTGCGGGACCCCTGGGTGGGAGGGAGGGCAGTTCATTGTGTCTTCAAAAAGGAAAAGTGGGGAGTTGGGACCCAGTGGTCCAGTTCATTCGGTCGTCAAAAAGGACAAGTGGAGAGTTCCATACATGGGCTTAGGCACTTTTGGGTGGACATCAGATTAGGTGCCGACTCATGTCCGGCCACTTTTGGAGGTGGTCCGCCCCCCGCCCCCCGCCCCCCCCCCACCCTACCCCCCCCCACCCCACCCCCCACTTCAAAAAAAAACAACACAAAGCAAAAACGCGAACTTGGGGCGGCCGAATCGATTTGGGTTGCGTCTCCAGATTTCGCCGCCCGGGCGCCCGGGCGAAGGGGATGCAGCTGGTGCTCTGCTCCTTGCCGCGGCTGGGCGGCCTGGGGCGAAAGGCTGCAGTAGCCACACCCTGCTGCTTACCCCTGGCATGAACCCGGTTCATTGATCGTTAGTGATGGCTAAATTATGGGAAACCGGCCCCCCAAGGGTCCAAAATGGCCATGGTATCATAATGGCCATGGGACAAAACCCCGGTTGCCCCACAGTGATCATCCCAATCCAACCATTAAAACAAGTTCTAAAATGGGTGGTGAATTCACCTACCTTGAAATGGTACCATTGGTGTTGACCCACGGCTATATAACATGAGGGGAGGGGTCTTGTTTTTCTCTGTTGGTACCCCCGTGTTTGCTTGGTTTTACAAGGGGAAACAACAAGAGAACACTTCCATCATGTAGGGTGTCCAAAGGCTAAAAATATTTGGCCACCCAAAGCGGCCTGAGAATTGCAAAAGGTCTTCAAGCGCAACAAGCACAACAAGCCTTCGGGCCCCCCAAACCGAAATCGAATCGGGTAGGGATAATCCCAAAGATGAACCGCGATACCTACGCTTAAGATCCAAGGGGTGTGTGTGAGGACAACCATCCATCCCCAACACACCCTCTCTGCAAAGGACTTGCTGGTTCTCAGTAAGGAACGGGACTGAAGGATTGGGGGGCTTTCAAAGCAAACATAGTCATGAGTCGATTGGGGTAAACTATGAGTAAGCATTTAGCCCAATCAGGGCACTGGAGACCTAGGAATTCTCACATACCCTTTTCATCTCGGTTTCAAAAAACGCCAAGAGGAACCAACCATTTTAGGGACCCCTGTTTTGGGAAATACGTGTGTTAAAAGACCCCTAATGTCAGCAGACGATTAGTAAACCCCCCCCCCCGATTAAAGGTTTCCCCTTTTCCCCCCCAGGTTCCAACCAACACTAAAGTAAAGGGCCAACAAGATTTCAAAAAAAAAAAAAAAACCCTACCCAAATTTTTTTGAGCCCTCCCCAAAACCCCCCCTGATTAAAGGTATCCCTCTGCAGCCCCCAAGCCAACAAAACCTGCCAGAAAGGCGCTTTCCTTCTTGCTTAGTATTTGCTGAGTCTGTGCTTAAACCCACCAATACTATGTCACTATTGAACCCCTCAAGTTTTCCCAAAAAATGTGCTTCCCCCGAAATGCATTTGTCCTTATTAAAATTTGTTTAAAATGACAAGGTTTTCAAGCTCACAAAGGGGACCCCCCTTGGAGGCCAGTCCCCCCTCATTAACAGCGATTAATCAGGGGTCTTTTGGGCTCAAAACCAAAAAATATGCTGTTGCCTTTTAAAGTCCTACTGCCCCGAAGGGACCAGAAGTAAGAGGACGAGGACCGCAGGGGCTCCAGAGTAATCAGGGGGGTCCTCCCAAAAATCTCATTTTTTGGGACTTGTCCAACCTTGTCAACCTTGAAGGGGGGGGGGTTTACTAATCAGTTGGCACCATTATTCAGATCTCCTAGGACCTTCAGGTTCCATGCTCATGTTCGAGGGAATCGGATTCCCCGGTGTTGCCCTAGTTTCTGAGGGATCCATAGGTTTCTCACCCCGGTTGATTCTTTAATATACAGGGTGTCCGAGCCATTTGCCTTTGTAGATCCTCCAAGGAATTTTAAGAGTCACCACCTCAAAAGTAATGCATGAATCCCAAATGGTGTCTACCATTCGGGATCCCAGATTAAACAAACTCATGAACCCTTTTTGAGGCTGGTATAAAGAAAAACTTAAAGGGAAACACCATGTGGGAGGTTCCAACCTTAAAAAAGACGAGTCGCACAGTTGGAGCTTCTTTTTTCAAGGTTTCAAAGGCCCCTCTCCGCCGATGACGAGGCGATGACGAGGTGGGGAACCGAAAGGTTCTCCTATTGATGTGCGAAATACCCGGCGCGACCAGCCGCTTTAAAGCGGCTTGGTTTACAGTTGGCGCATGACCAGACCATCTTTGCAAGGACCCACATCCGGCCCCTAAGCCGCGCCTGAAAATCTCTTCAATCCACCAAGGTTTTCTCTGACCATGACTCACGGGACCAAAGGGCCATGGCCGGCTAGTGGCTGTGACGTCTGACATTCAGCCCTGAGGGCTGCGCGCGTCATTCAGAGTAATGAGCACATTTGAGGCAGATGCTTCCTGCGGCGGGGTGGCTCATGAACACGATTCTCACCTGCCCAAATGAGAATCAAAGCCTATTTGTCTTGGGCCTTGACAATAACTGGACAACCCAAAAGCTTGGTTGCTGTTGACCCCTTTGCAAAAGGTTTAACTTGTGGCTCCAATTCGGAAATTCCGGCCTATTTCAAACAATAAAGAAAGACACGACCGCCTTTGGACTGATAACCGAAAGGATTCACTCAAGGCAGCCGATGGCTTGGGTGTTTCACGCCGAACCACCACTCGGTGCCATGGCAAACATGATATTTCTTGCCATTTCTGACAACTTCGGGCCACCAGCCGAGGAGCCACCAGCCGAGAAGCAAAGCTATGTGGGTGTATCCTAAACGCTGGAACCCCTCAAACGTGGGTTGTATGGTTTCACGCCTCTGGGAATCGTCCAAGTAACTCCAGCAACAGCCACAACCCCCAACAGCCCAGCCCCAATACCCCGAATAGGCCCGCCAGTTCCCAAAGCACCTCAACCAAACCGAACTTTTACCCTTCCACTCACCTCTGCTTTTACGATCGACAAACTGCATTCAACTAGACTCTGAGCCAGTGTACTCCGATGTTCGAACAAATTCAATCAAGGATCCAGCTGAAACAAACGCACTCCTGCAGATCTAGAGCCCCAACAACACATTACTGCTAACAGCAATCTCCTTTAAGGGGTCGCTTTATTTTTCCGCTTCTATCTATCGGAGTACTCTAGTCTAAGTGATCAAACAAATACATACATTGCGCATGTTCACGAGGTATCAATGGACGAAATCCTGCACCATTTTGAAACCATGGTTTAAACCATTGTTTGTTGGTATTTACAGGGGAAAACATCACTCCGTGGGTTTCTGAACGGTGGTGTGAATGGATTTCGCAACCATCCACAGCATGACTTACCACACCCCACTACCCCACTCCAATGATTTGGCCCCACGTTTTTCAGTGAATTCCTCTCTGGGGGTACAAAGGGCGGTTTTTCTTCCCACACGGCTCCATGGGGTGTGGCTCAAGACTCAGGGCCCATCTTGAGTACCCCAAGGTAGACTTCAATTTTAGTGATGGACAATGTCCCACACCAATCAATCAAACCATATACTGGGATAAACCACCAACCACCTGATGCAGGTTGATTTCCCCAAATTGAGATCACCTGGTCTAAGTGTGCCTTATGGTCGTCTCGAAACGGACACCCCGACCTCCCGCGCAAACAAAAAAAACAACGCCGAGCCGGAGTCCTGAGCGAGGCGTGCGTCCAAAGCTCGCTGCTTGTGGATCTCGAAGAGTTCGGGCGTGATACGCAAGACCTCAGAAGAAACCTCTGGCTTGGTCTTGGTTGACGTTGGAAGGGGAGCAACAAAATAAATGTTAGCAGCTAAGTGGGGATTTCCCACTAAACCACAATAAGCAAAAGTGTAAAATGTTTCCCAACAACAACCATGTGGTGAATGAGCTGCCAGATCAACCTGGAACCTGCGACAACCAGTTGTAAATGGTTGCAGGGTTCCAGGAAAGGATGGAACCTCAACACCGAAAATAGATAAGGTAAGTTGGGTCTGGGAATGTTGCACAGGGTCTTCTTGAGAGGCCGCCACATGGGTTCCATATCAAGGCATCTCGAGGCTCCAGTCCGAAAGCTGCCGCGCGTCACAGGTGCCTCCCATGAACTGCAAGGAAGGTAGAGTGGGCATGTGTTGACCCGACATCCTCTCTATGCGGCTGGCACCATCCCCCATCGACCTTGGAACAAAAACGGGCCCCTGAGCCCCTGCACACCGGAATCTTTTCGTCCGTGAACAGCCCCAGGGTTGTGCCATCTTAACAACATGGTGCGGTGCACAGTTGCCCCATGACACCTGTCCTCTTGAAGTCTTGGAGGGTTCAACTGTGCACTTTTCTTTGCTCTTTGGGTGTGTATGAAACTATTTTCAACACGGTGCAATGGTTTTCCTTCTGGCTTTCCAAACAAAACCAACCCAAGGCAACCGACACACCCGGAAAGGGGGCCTATTTTGGAGGATAAACCCCTGGAGGGGAAGTGAGTGCAAAGAAGCCGTTACAGGCCTAAACATGGCACCCAAAAGGCTTTGCTGCCAAACGGGCCCTCTGAAAAACCAGGGCTTTGTTGCTCAATACTGATTGAGTGACCAGTTGAGTGCGATACATGTATCTATATATATATATATATGAATGCATTGTTCAATGGCTTCCTTTGTGATGCAAGCAACACATGATTGTCCTTGCAAGCAACTGGAACCCGTTCATTCTAACCCGTCGACGACGGCGCCCCCTGACTACTGCCAAACACTTGCTAGATCAGGGGGTCTGGAAAAATAAGCATTACCCATTCCCTGGCTCAAAAACAAGAGGGCACCGCACCAGGGGACAGCAGGCTTTGCTCTACTTTTCCGTTTGCAAGGGTTTCATGCCGTGGCCACGCCCTGCTGCTTACCCAAAGCAAATTGGACATTACAGGCGGGGATCCTTTTTTCAGGGTACCCTCTTTTTTGCGTTTAAGGGGAAACCAAAAGAAAACCGCTGCGCCATTTGAGGGGTTGCAAAAAAAAGACGAGCCACCCAACTGGGCCACCTGAGGTTTCGTACTTCCCTCAAGGGGTTGAGGCTCTCATCTCAGCCTCCGTGCGTTGCCAATGGCCATAGGCCACACCACCTGCGAATTCAAAGCTCAAAACGTGTCAAAACAGGATGGCGTGTCGTGCTTTTTTTGTTTTGTTTTTTCTTTTGTTCTTTCTTTATCCTTCGTTTTTTATACATCAGCATAGACCCCAAATAGCAAAAAACATGCCAACTCCTCTAACAGCACCTCGCGAAGAGAGCCCCAAATAGCACCCAGCCGTCAATCTCGCCAAAAAATGCGCCCACGCCGTGACCAGCACTTCAAACAGCGCCCCAAACACTACACCAGCACCCCAAACTGCACGCCCCCTAGCACCAGCCCATCACTCTCGCAAATCACGTTCCCCTCGTTATTAGAGGTTAGAACCCCTATCACTTTCAGCTATCTGGGGAATAAACAAAATGAGATCTGCAACTACAGGAGCGGATAACTCCACATGCCTTGCTTTTTGCAACATGAGTGTCAGTCGAATGCCGTAAGAGTAAGTATAAGTTAGTGAGTGTAAGTTGAATGAACTAGTATATAATCTTGGTTGACGTTGGAAGGGGAGCAACAAAAACAAATGTTAGCAGTTAAGTGGGGATTTCAACCACTAAACGACAATAAGATCAAAAATGGGAAAACTGTTTCCCAACAACAACCGTGTAAGCCCGTGAGGTTGTAGCCAGTTGGTTTAAAACCACCGCGGCCTCACGCGGCCTTCGGCCCCTTCGCCCCTTCGCCCCTTCGCCCCTTTGCGCCTCGCGGACTTTGGGGGGAAGGCCCTGGCGCCAGAGCCGCGCCATGCGGGCGCTGGGCTCGCCTGCGAGCTTTGGATCGGAGGCTTGGGGGATGGGGAGGGATCGGCAACATGGCAAGCTTTCATTTTACTTTCCCTTCAAATAAACCAATCCAAAAATGGCTACCCTAAGCACCCGTCCTAACCGTTTGGCTGGCCACACCCACGCGGAATTTCCGGACTGCGAGCCCGGCGAGTCCCTCTCCGCCTGGCACGAAGCTGGGCAAGAGCTGCGTCCAAATCTCCGTGTGCTCCTGACACCGCAATTTGCCATGGCCGTGGAACTGTTAGTGGGGGGTGGCCGTTGGGGCGGGGTGGTGGCTTTTTGGGGGGGTGCGGGTTTGGGAGGGGTGGGAGTTTGGGGGGGTGGGGGTTTGTGGGGGTGGGGGGTTGTGGGGGTGGGGGTTTGGGGCCCCCAAACCCTTTGCCACTCGGATTGTCGAGATCCAAAAGGTGATTGATCAATGTCCAGAAACTCAGGAGAGTTGCCTTGGCACACAAAAGGCGGTGCATAGAAAATCACATGTTCAGATTGTGATTCATGTTTAGTCTAACCTAATTATATGGCATAGTTTAGGAACATAGGTCCCCATTTATTATCTGCCTAGCTGCTTGCTAGACTGGGGTTCCTCATATCTCCCGCTTAGACATCATCCCATCCAAGGGAAATTGGCCCCAAAGGTGATGCTTTACTCACTGGGTCAAAACCAATGGTACCATTTTGGGGTAGGTGAATTCACCACCCATCTTGTCTATTTTAGTGGTTGGATTGGGATGTTCACTGAAAGGGGGTAACCAGGATCCCATGGCCATATAAACGACCCCTGCAACTCTTCGGTGGTGCGCTTGCGCTTCTCCACCGGCATCTACGGCATGAAGTGAAGCGCTCTCACAATTCCAGGTACGTGTGAAATATGATGGCTCTGGAAGCTCCACTTGTGGGGGGGATCGGCATGTTTCCCTTCGCCAGCCAGTGGTCACTGCATTCAGGTTCACCACCCAGCGCGCCGGGCATTGCAAGTCACGGTTGGCCAATTTGGCTTTGTGAGCTTGCAACATTATACTGACACTACCAGTCATGGAGTAAGTAAGGCTAGTCCTTTCGCATTCGGCACATGCGGCAATGCTGCTGGAAGTTGCCAATATGCGCGGCGACGGCAATTGATCAACCTCTTTCCGCTGTCTGATCTCTTGGTCGACAAGCTCGTCCCCTGTCTCAACCAATCGCTCCTGAAGAAAATTGTCACCCACGCGCCGGAGGTCAAACGCTTTTTTGGGCCGAAGCGATCCTCAACGAGGCCGTCCCGAGTCCCGGCGCCGTCGGGCCGTCGGATGCCAGCCCGTGTTGGCAAGATGGGAACGCGCAGGAGATGCTCTGGACCGTGAGATGACTCCAATCTCCAAATCCAAAGCTGACTGAAGGACTCGATGAAAGGAGTCCCTTTGCAACCACTAAGCTGTGTGGGGCAACAACCGGATGTGACCCGGCGCCCTCTATGATGGCCGGTGGCCAAATGGTGTACTTTCTCCGGCAGTGATTTCGCAAATTTGCCAGTAGAATCCAGGTTTTACTTCTGATTTCCCTATGTTTGTATTGAATGACCTTCCGGGTGTTGGGAATGAACCGGAAGGGCATTCCCTCAAAGGAAGCCACAAGTTGGATGGTTTTTCCTCGGGGTCATTCCATTTCTCATTTCCTGCCGATCGCACCAGCAAGTTTCAAGCACCTTGAACATGGCCTAACTGCCTAACCGCCTAACAACCAGGGAGCTCAATTGAAAACCCCAAGTCCAAACCTTCCTTCCAATGCTCCCGCCCTTTGCAGTGCTCTTGTCCACTGAAGCGTTCCGATGGGTGTGCCTTGTGTTGGAGGCTGCCCCCTTTTTTCTTTGACTTACAGGAACACCACGAATGTTCCAAGATGTTCCAAGCCTCATTTACGGGGATGTCCCCTAAAAAACGACATTTGAAAGTGCGCGAAATCGAAAATGGTTTAACCCGATCAATTACTGTTGCGGATCAAACATGGCAGCAGGGAGCACACACACACACACTTTGCCTTGAGCTAAATTGTTTGAAATGACGAGACGAGGGATTTGTCAGGGATGTTCAATGCATGGCCCGTCAAAATTGAGTGTGGAACACACAATTGGTCAAGCAAACCAACTCAAAATTCCAGCAGCAGAAAATACGTCTTCTCCGTTGACTCAGACAAGTCTTCCTCAAATTTGGCGATGTCCGTAGCGAAAACAAAAGCCCATCTGGGCTGCTCGTTTTCAGATCCCCTCCAGAAAGCTTAACTTTGAGTGGGTTAAACGGACACCCAACCACTAAACACGAAAAACCTAAACACCTGAGGGGATGACAAAGAGAAACTCCTTCATTTGTAGCTGACTACCCCAGCTTTTGCCCCCAAACCAAAATCACATGTCTCATATTCATTCGACCTAATGTAAACTCAATTCAAAAGAATCCCCCCTACCACAAGCGCCGGGATTTGGCGGGTCCCCCAATTCCATGTTCTAGTCTTCCCCCTAAAGAGAAATTCGAACCATACATGGGATTCCAGGGGTCACCCCTCCCCCCCGGTGAGCTCGCCGACTCCGTGCCGACTGCGTCTCCTGCAGCCGCCTCTCCCGGCGCTCCTCGCGCTCGCGGCGCTGCTGCTCCTGAGCCCATGACGTCGGATGGTCTCCGACCGGAGGATTCACCATGCAACCCGAAACCTACTCCTCCTTTTGCTGAAGTCCCTTGAAAAAAACACATAAACTTGTTTCCAGTTGTGGTAGATTCCCTTTAAAGCCAACAAGGGAAAATCGAAACGAGCAAGCATAGGTGTCGTTTTAGGGGAAATAGATGGCCCTGGTAGACGATTAAATCATCAGATAAACCAGGGCCATCAATTTTTAGACCAAAACAACCAAAAAGGAGACCTATGAGCGCACCTAAACCTACTGTGGAAGGTAGTGGGGTCAAAAGTTGTACGAAACATCTTAGAATAGTGCCCGGAATTGTTGGTAAACCTACCGTGGAAGGTCTTGAGCCAGTTGGTAGGTGGCTTAGCCCAGTGCTTCATGCATGCCAACTGGTGCGAATCGGATTCTGCCCATCCATTGGGATGGATTTCATTCAGGGCAAATGTCCTGTTTCTGTTGGCGCTTTGGCGTCATGTCGACGCGCATGCACGATATTGTCGACCCCTTCGAATTCATCGGGGGTTCCATTTCTCAGAAGAGACCCGAGTCACAATCAAAACCTGGTATTAAAATGGTCTACCCAAAACCATGTAAAGAATTAAGAAGGCGGCCGCAGCTATGGCTGGGATTGTCCCTTACTAACCTTCATCTACCTTGGTTTTGATTGTGGCTCACCTCAGATTCGCCCAAATTCAGACTGGTTGCCACCAGCGAAGGGCACTTTGAATGCTTCCGGAAATGCCGGAGCCATCTCTTGTGTGATTCAATTGTGCATTATATGTATATATATATATATTATATATATGTCATTTTGAGGGTAATCGTGTGGTGGTTGTTTCAAAGAAACACCAAAAAGGAAACCACCTTTCTGGGATTCCCCGAATTTGAGACACGCCCATATCCCTGGCTACCCTTGGACCAACCTATTTGGAAAGTTCTAGTTTTGCCAACATTTCAAAAGGTATGTGTAGAGACTGTGATAAAAGGCCTCCCACTCTTTGGGTCCCACTCTTTTGGACAACGCCTTCCGACAACAAAAAGTGCCGGATCCACGATGGACTGCAGGAATCCACGCCGATCCCCGCAGCGCAGTGAATTTCCTTCACGGAATGCTAAAGGGAAGAAAGTACCTTGGTTGCTGTTGACCCCTCTGCAAAAAGTTTGACTTGTGGGTTTAGTGGAAAACCCCTTGATTTCCCAAAAAGCTAAAGTCTGAAGATCCAACCCAATAGCGATCAAGGTACAAGGGGAGGGGCGGGGTGCTGCGGACTTTGCCTTAAGAAGAAACATCCGTAGGATCTCATGAGCACCATGCTGCAGTTGAAGATATAAAAATAAGAAGAACAGGGTATGAAAGTAAAAGAGATGGCAATTATAAAGTCTCAGAAATAATTTATCTTTGTTGGCTTTCTTTTTGGATATTTATTTTACTTCTTTATCATTCTATTTCTTATAAACTGTAATATCTTAGAATTTAGAATTGTAATCCATTAAAATCTAGACTTATATTATGTGTCTTTTCTTTTTTGTAATCTTATGAATTTTCCATCTCTTAATTTGTATCTTCATTTTATTTTGTTTTTTTATTGTTTCTTTTACTTTATGGGATCTATATCTTATGATTATTCACTTCCTAATCCATTCCTTTCTTCTTTCTTTTACTTTATGATTCATGCATTACTTCGTCCAACATTAAAATATTCTAATAAAGACGGCCACACAAAGAATCCTAACAGCAAACCAATTAACTTGAAATAAAGAGACTCATTGACCATAAATCCATCAACATTCATTCCTTTCTATCTCCTGGTCTTCTAGAAATTATTTGGCTTTATTGTGTGTTTGCTGATGACCAGGAGATAAGATGGGAAAGGAAGCAAAAGCATTTGGAAAAGCCATCATTATTAAACTGTACAATGCTTGTCCACTGGATTATTCCTTTCCTTTCTCTTCATCCAATATTTCATAAACACAACCAAAGAAGAATCCAGATAATAAAGACTCAGAGAATAGAGGGTTAATGGGATAGCTTCTTCATATTGTTCATCAACTTTTTAATCTCAGAAATTCTTATGTTTGGGTCAATAAGAAAGCCATTATGTCCATTAAAAATCTTGACATTAAATCCTGAATTTGGAGATGAAGGATTACGACATAAAGTGAATCAGCGTTCATATTTTCAAGCTTTTAATATCTGTTCCTTTTTCAAATTATCTGTCTTCTTCATAATATTGACCCAATTAAGACCTTTCCAGATAACCACCTAATCTTAATAGCTGCTTTTATAGAAGGGTTCATGATCCTAAAGTAGAAGCAATTAATAAGACTGGGAAATGAAAAAGGCAAGGAATAAGAGATGATGAACCCTTCCCTCGCCACCATCGGTTAACCCTTGATTTGTGGCTCGCCAAGGATAACAGGTTCTTGAATCCCAAGAGCTCCTACAAAAGGATTCTGATGGCACCTTCATGTCGGTTCATCTTCTCTCTACCTTGTATTATTTGGTGCCATCTTAATATCTCTCCCTTGACCGTGTTAACGAGAACTTATCCATTGGCGGTCATTTGTAAGCTCTAAAAATCCAGAAGTCTAAAGGAGGTGGAACATAAGAAAGAGAAAGGTAACCAGATATTATTGAATGTTGATTGATGTAACTTGTATTAATTAGAAGATTTCTTTATTGTCCAAAAGCTGAGTCTTATTAATTGGCAACAGACAGGATATACAAGTGTATCTGGATTAATATTATATTTTCCTTTTACCTTGTGTATTAGTTCCTGAGTGAATAAATGGATAAATAATGTTGTTTGGCTGTGTTTATTGGCTTTCTTCTTTTACAGTTTTTATTGTTTGTTAATTCCCTATATTAAGATCTTATGTTGATTGTCTTTATTCTTTACAATTATTTATTTTCGTTTATGTATTGTTATTTGTTTTCTTTGTGATAATTATCTTTCTTTTACTTTCATATTCATTCATGTATTATCTTATATTAATTCTCATGCTTATTTGTTTATCATTTTGTTACTTTTCTTTTCCTTTCTTATTATTGTTCTTCTTCTTTTGAATATTTAGTTATATATTCATGGTGCTTATTTTATATTATTTCCTTCTCTTTTTATTATTTGATTATGTATTTATATCTTTTACTTGTTTATTATGTCTTGTTTATATCCGCCGACATTGTTCGGCGTGTCGGATACTTACTAGAGGATAGAGGATAACCCCCCCCCTTAACCCCCGCCCGACGTCTATTACGTAGGTTTTTGGGGGGGGAAAATACATAAAATGGCACTTCTAACATCAAACCCAAATAATCAAACAGCATACAACAAAATCAGCAAAATTCACAGAAAACAAGATAAGAACCACCAAGCAACTCAAAAACCAGAACAACCCCCAACAAAATATTTAATCAAAGCATAAAACATTAAATAATTCAAACAAGCATACCAACAAAACAGCAAAAATAAAAACCATCAAAGAACACAAACTCAAACACACACATCAACAAAAAGCAAAGCAACATACCAACAAAAAATATCAGAAGAGTATCAAACAAAATAAAATACAAACAGCCAAAGCACGAAAAAATCAAAAGAGCATACCAAGTTCAAACAACGCACTTTGAAAGAGATAAGCAAATCAAGAAAAATACAATATTTCAATCTTTACAAACCATAAGTACAGTATAATTATAACATATAAGATTTTACATGTTATTATTATAGTATGATTATAATTTCAGTACAGGATAATAATTTAATTGATTTGTCTTACTTCTTTCATACATCATTTTAAAAAAAAATATTAATATCTCTCAATGTATTTTGAATATTAAACTTTTTATTTTCAATAAATAATTTGATATTTTCTTGCACATCTTCTCCTTTCTCTTGACTATATCCCAACATCCATAATATATCATAAATCATGTGATATTTTCTTACTGATTTTAAGAACCTGTTTAACATAATCATAAGGTGGTATTTTATTTACAGTTAGAAATATTAAAATCTCATCTTCTACATTTCTATTATGTCTTCCTTTTATTCTCAACAAACATTTGATTAAAAATTGATTATCTCTCCATTCCTGACAATTTTCACATTCGTCTTTTTCATCCGTTGAATAATTAATAATATTATTCACTATTTCATTAGGTAAATTCAATTTATACAATTCCATATTTTCTTTTTTGAAGTGACAACAATCATAGCATTTTTTATTGATATAATTATTGATTTTGTCACCGTTCATTTTCCTCTTATTATATTAAGGCACTATTTCTTTAAGTCATGTTTAAGGCATTAATAAAAATTAAGAAACAAACCAGAAGTACAGTATAATCATAACATATAATATTTTACATGTTATTATTATAGTATGGTTTTAATCAAAGTCATTAGTATTTAAATATTCCTTTGTAATCTTTTGTATTTGTTTAAGGTTCTGTTTATTATTTTTAAATGTGTATTTTCTATCAGCAAAATCATAAATGCAAAAATCTATGCCCCAGTTTCCTAAAACACTTTTAATATCATTTATCACATCACCATACATTAATTTACCTATTATATTGTTCTTCTGTTCATCCTTAATATAATCACATATTTTATCAATTATGATTTTCAATTCTTGGTTTCTTTGTTTTATGTAGTTTAAAAATGGTTCCTTGCAATCATTTTCAATTTTATTATTTGATAAATCATACTCATCAATAAATTTAAACATCATTTTATTATTAAATTCTTCAATTGGTCTTGTTGTTCCAATTTTGCCACCATAACTAACTTCATATGATTTTTCGTAGTAATATTTAATATCATTATGAAATTTTAAAATATATGTTTCGTTATCTTGCAGTATATATTTTTTCACTTTTTCATATGTAGGAAATGTATTTAACTTTATAAAACAATATGTTCTTAATGATGAGTCATCATTTAGAAATGTATTTTCTTCAAATTTCA